CCTATCTTGCCAACTGCCATTATCTCTTTCTGTTTCAAAAGATAATTACTCAACATTATCTTTATCTCTCTCATCTTGCCAACACATGTGCTGACCTGTCATGGGACCCAGGATCCGAATCTGACATGGCTCAAAACTCCTCCAACCAATAAAAATTTTACACGTGGCATTAATTTAAAAATTTGCAATTTATGGTGTAAACAATGCCCCCCAACACTTGGTTTTATTAAGATAAATCCAAGTGTTTTAATTAAATAAATTGTCTCCCACACCATAATTACTTATGCCACATGTCGAATCCCCTTTAAAAGCCACTTCACAAATATCTCCTGGAGCAATTTTTTAGATAAACCCCAGCCACTCCTTTCTCAAATTCAATTAATTTTCCAAAACCCAAAGTAAAGAAAAGTCAAACTTACTTTTCCTTTTCTTTTGAACCATGGCCGGCTGCACTCTTCTTTTGCTATCCTTTTTCAACTTAATCAAATCCCAAAAAGTAAGGCAAAATTAAATTTACCTTGGATACCTCAAATTGCCGGCTGCACTCTCCTTTGTTTTTTTCATTATTCCACCGTCAATTGGCCCATTGAAAAGTCTCCTTCACTTTAAATAAAATCTATTAATTTTCAAAAGAAATCCCAAAAGTAGGGACTCCTTGAAAATTACCATTAATTTTGCTTTACCTTCTTCAACCTCCACGGGCCACCATCACCTACTTTCTTTCTTCCATTTTCTTTTGCTTTTACCGCCGGCTGCTGCTAATTTCATACCTTCAATTTTTCTTTTCCAAACCCACAAAATCAAAACTAGCAAACCGGTTCCTTTTAACTTCCAGATCTACTACCGGCTGCACTCTTCCTTTACTTGTTTGTCCAGATCTGCTCGGTGGTCCCCCCAGAGACTCTTCTTGCTTCACATGTAGCAGTTGACTGTTACTTTCATTTTATTTGCAAAGATTTACTTTGCTTGTGCCCCATGGACCCTACCGGAAATCCCCTCTTGTCCGTGACTGTTGGTTGATTTTTTTTTTTTTCTCTATTTCTTTGTGTGTGCAGATCTGCCCAGCCTGGCTTGTGTCCGGTGGCCCCAGCAAAAATCTTCCCCTTGCCAAAATTACTTCCATGGCCAGTGACCGAGAAGATCAAACCATGCCCACCGGATCTGCTTCCATGGCCGGTTCAAAGGCCACTCCTTGCTTGCGGTCACCTCCCCCAAATTTAATTGAAATCTTTCAAAACCGTAACCTTCAAGATGATATAAACAAGGTACTTTCATCCTCGGTTTCTTGATGTTATGGAAAATATTTCTGTTCTGGCCCCTCCACAACTCACCAAAAAATCTGAAAGGAAGAAAGTAGTAAAAGAGAATGAAGACCTGGAATCTGCCATGGCCGCCCAAATCAGCCAGCCAGATCTGCCAGTGAGAGCTCCCAAACTTCAAGTTAAAAGGAAATTTGTTGCTCCTGCAGATTCCACAGAAGAGGATACCCCCTCCAAACAGCGAAGAACAGGAGGTAAATCCACTTTGGCTTGCAACTTTGTGACATGTTTTCTGCTAACACTCACACTCTTTTTTTTTTTTCCTTAGGAATTAAGAGGCCAGCAGTGAAACCTGCAGCCGCCAAAAAGCTCATCAAATCTGCCTCCCCATCAGAATCCACTTTTGCCATGGAAACCCAGATTCCTCCTAACAAAATAGAAGATGTTTCTCCCAAGCTAGACCAAGTTGAAGAAAACATTGCTGCAAGTGATGAAGGTGATTCTGCCACCATCCCTACGAAATCTGGCAACGGTTCTTCTCCAGCCACAAAGGTTAGGGGTTCTAGATTCTCTTCACGCATAGCAAACAAAAACTTTAGAACAGTTAGACCGAATGAACTCATCGATCTAAGCCCAGACAAAGAGAATACCCCTACACCTGTAGCTTCTCCTGCTAGGCATGTTCATGTTGATGACTTTGAGGTTGTTTTACTGTTCTGAAATCTGCCTAGATCTTGAAATCTGTCACCACATCTGCCAGTTGCCATTTTTGATCTTTCGTCTTTGCATTTTATAGAGTGTTGCTGTTGATGTGCCCATGATTGATGATGATTTGGAGAATGAACTCCTTGCCCAGCTGGATATGTTGATGGATACTCCGGCTAAATCTGGATCTGCCACAGATAGTAAAGGGAAGGCAGTTGTTGAGGAAGTGGAATCTGACGCCAACCTTCCTCCTCAGGAGCAGATCAGTCTTGCGATCATGACCATGCAAGAGCTCCTGGGTGGTGATCCTTCCCATTTTTGCAAAGCGCCGGACCAGCCAACCGCCTTTGAAGCGGCTCAAGTCCTTAGCCGAGCTCCTCAATTATCATCTTCTCAGCACAAGTTCTGGGCAGACTTCTCCTCCCTTTACACGCACTTCAGCAAGAGACTTCGGGTGTTAGAAGGCAAAGTGGCGGCTGCAGATTCTGTTAGGAAGTCTGTAGCAAATAGTACCGCTGCTGTCTTGAAGCTGAGCTTTCGGAGTTGAAAAACCAGGTCCCTCTTGCGGAGCAATCTGAAAAGAATTTGGCAGAACAAAGAAACAAGCTTCGCATGAACATGGAAGCTGGATTGAAATCTACAGCCAAGATCAAGGATCAACTACCTTCCTTCACAGCCTCTGCAGACGAAGCCGTCGAAGAGATAAAGACCATGAAAGAAGAATGGAGCTCATGGCAAAACAACCTTAGTTGATTTTTCTC